CCAGAGCTGCATCCTGGAGGCTGGAAGATTTCTTCACCTTAAAGGGAATCATCACAGTAACTATGTCTCTTTTTAGGAGGAAAAAAAATCAGTGGATCTTCTATTATAAATTATGAGATTTTTACTGGCCAGCATCCAAAAAGAACAAAACAAAACCTTAGCTTTAGAGGTTTTTAAAATATGTCTGTTCTGTAACTTACCTAAGCATTTATAAATTTTGTAAAAATGGTATCTCTGCATCATAAACTTTTGACAACCCTCTAACTCCGAAAGGATTTGTGTTCTGGGTTGGCAGTGAGACCTTTCATGGCCTCAGCCTCCCCTTCCCTTAAGTCACTGAATGATGCTTGATGTGAACTGCTGAGCAGGGATCCCAAGGGCCAGTCTCCTGGTGTAGCACACCTCCTAACCCTGTGCTGCTGGTGCCCCCTGCAGGTGAGTGGAGGCTGTACTGTGTGCGAGGAGAAGTGCCCATGGAAGGAAATTTGCTGGAAGTGGCCTGTCACTGTAGTAGCTTGAGGTCCAGGACGTCCATGGTTGTTCTCAACGTAAATAAAGCCCTCATTTACCTGTGGCATGGATGCAAAGCCCAAGCCCACACAAAAGAGGTTGGAAGGACTGCAGCAAACAAAATCAAAGAACAGTGAGTGTTGTGGGTGTGAGGGTCTCTTCTGGAAGGGGCTGCCTGTGGGATGTGCAGGCGAAGGCCAGAAGGGTTCCCAGGATTCCTAGTGGATGTTCCAGTGTGCTTACAGTACTTCACCAAAGTTAGTTATGACCGTTGTTGGGGTCTGACATTCCAAGTAGGTCTGATAGATCTCAGCCAAAACCTCCAACCTGAGGGCTTCTCCCACTCTTTGAGGATTTATCTGCCTCAATAAAAGGCAGAGTGAGGGGTGAGGGAAAGGACCACAACAAGTACTTTAGTTTCTTTATTGATATGATTCAGCTGTTGAATTATAAGCCTAAAGTCCTTTGTTATTTAGAGCAAATTTCAAACATCTTTTAGAATTTCAGACTTTTAATTTTGTCAGAACAGTGGAATGTTTAAAAGCATTTAGCTAATGAAGAGTTTGGTATAAGATGTCTCTCTTTAGAGAAGGACTGTATTTCTGCAATCTCGAAGGCAGCCTCCTGACAGTGAGTTATTCGATCCCTGAGGCAGTTCTGACAGAGCACACCAGGCGTAGGGTTTTGTTCCTCTCCCAGGCAGGTACCTACATTGACCACTTACGTAGAGAAATCACACTGTGCTATTGCATTAAGCGAGGACCTTGGGAGTGGGCTGCACTGGCCGGTCACCTGTCTTGAGGCAGTCTGCCACTGGGGTGCTGCACTTCCTAGCAGCCCGTGCAACATGGGCATCGCAAGCAGCCAAAGAAATCCCAGTGTCCTTCAGTCGTTCAGGAGATGCTCAGCATTCCCTCAGAACTGGAAGGACCTTGGTAACATCTATACAGTAAAAATGAGGAGTTTCCCAAGGCCACAACATACCACTAAAGTGCAACTTGGTAAAATCCATTCTCTGGGTATCAAAACAATGCACTGTGGGCCTGTTTTCCCTGTGACTGCTCTAAAAACCTACCACTACACGGAGGGGGCGGAGAGAATGAGAGCAAGTGAGCTGTCAATACCCAGATGGCTGTGAAGCAAGATGTTGCACCTCAAAACACCATCCCAAAGGCCAGGGAGTGGGGAGGGATGATAAATGATGTTCTGTAAAGTATCCAAAGGCATTCACAGCCCATCAGATTATTTACTTGGACCCCTGAGAGGAAAAAAACAAAAGAGTAAAGAACTCATTCTCATTCAACAAAAATTCTTGAGCACCTACTTGGTGCCAAGGGGAGATTTAGGGACTAGGGACTTGCCAGTGAGCTAATCGAAGTCTCTGTCCCCATGAAACTTATGTTCCAGCAGGAGAGGACCAGGAAGAGTAAATATGTATATTATATATAGAAATGTATGTTCTGTTCATTACAGATTATATGTAATTGTACATTCCTCTCTAAGGGCCAAGTCAGCCCCTATGCCACAGAGAATGTTTTTATTCATTACTAAGAATTGATTTAGTTAGAAAGTAGAAGAGAGATGGTGAACTCACCTATAGATTTAGCCTTGGGTAATTTTGTGCTGTCAGTACTTCCAAAGCTTAATAAAAATGATTGTCTTCATACAGATGCCCCTTGGAAGCAGGACTGCATAGTAGCAGCAAAGTGACAATACATGAGTGTGATGAAGGCTCTGAGCCCCTGGGATTCTGGGACGCATTAGGAAGGAGAGATAGGAAAGCCTACGACTGCATGCTTCAAGGTAATACCACATTCTGTAGCCTCTGGTCATTCATTTATTCAATACATATTTATTGAGCACCTGCTATGTACAACACACAATGAATTAAACCTAGGCTAGGTCCTCATGGGCCTACAACCCAATAAGGCTAAATAATATGCATGACTAATTATAATGCCAAATAAAAATTTTGTGTCATGAAAGAGGTAGAGGTGAAGGAGGTTGAGAGTAAAAAATAACATTATTTCCACCAGGAAAACTCACATCCAGCTCCACAGAGACACAGCATTTTACATGGAGCTGGAGGTAGGTATGGTTGAGAGGAAGAGGAGAAGAAAAGTTCAGGAAACCAGATGAGCAGTGACACAGTGGGAACCTATGGAATAAGATGTTCTCGGTGTGGCCAGCTTCCAGGGCGCAGGAAAGGAGTGGGGTTTAACTGAGAGACTGTGTCAGTTTTGTATTTAAATGCACCAAATACAAAATATGTAAAGATCAGCTTAAATGCAGATTAACATAAGAAGAAAAGCTAACAGTTTTTAGGCAGGATGATTCAGGCACTGTAAGCACTTGATAGACATTAATGCATTTAATTCTTACTACCCAACAAACACTCTACCATTTTTACTGATGAGAAAACTGAAGCACAGAGAAGTTAATCAACTTTCCCAAGATTGGCAGCAATGGGCTGTACACATAACTCCTCTATTTTTTATATAATTTTTTTTTACTTAATGAATATTGATGATGGAGAATGTTTGAAAATATAGAAAAGTTAAAAAAGAAAATAAGTTACTTATAATCACATCTCTCAAAGATAACCAGAATTAACATTTCTGTATGTTATATGTACATTTTTTTAAAATAAATTTGCTCTGGCCAGTGTGTCTCGGTTGGAGCATCGTCCCATTACACCAAAAGGTTGGGGGCTCAGTTCCCAGTCAGGGCATATACCCAGATTGTGGACTTACCCCTGGTCAGGGCTTGTACAGGAGGCAACCAATTGATGTTTCTCTCTCACATCAATGTTTCTCTCTCTCCCTTCCTTCCTCTCCCTAAAATCAGTAAAACATATCCTCAGGTGAGGATAAATAAATAAAATTTGGATAGCATTATACATATCATTTTATAACCTAGTTTCTCCCTTTAATTTATTGCGAAGTTTCCCAAGTTGTTAATATTTAGACTTTAATGTCTGCAGGGCATTCCATGAATATTCTATAATATATGACATTTTCTACTTAACCTGGCTCTTAGAGAGCTGAGTTGTTTCCAATTTTTCTCTATTATATAAAAATAGAGTTGTGAATACTTTTTAAAATAATGATCTGTATTCATTCCTAGTTATGGTAAATTCCTAGATATGGAACTGCTGTATCACCAGTTGTATCCCACAGAACATTCTACCCAGGCCATTCTCACCAGCAGTATACAAAAGAGCCTGTTTCCCAGCACAGACTCAGTGCATGACCTGCTCCACCCTTGCCAACACTGATGGGGGTTTTCACTCAGTGTCTTAAATTAGTAGTACCATTAAACACTTTCTATGTGAATTATTCAACATTTGTATTTCTACTTTGATGAATGTTTTATTTGTGCATTTTTGTATATTTTTATTGAGATATTTATCTTTTCACTAAATTTCTTGATGTACTAAGGATATTAACAAGTTTTCTTATTTCCCATTTTGTCACTTACCTTTTCTTTTTTTTGTTGTTGGCAATGTAATTTTTATTTTTATGTTATCAGTGCATAAATCTCTTTTGATTACTTATTTTGCAATTATGATTTAAAAGTCCTTCTCTACCTCCAAGTTCAGATGTACTAATTCTTTGATTATTTTGTGTTTTACATGAATTCTCCAATCCTTCTGAAATATACTTTGGTACATATTTTGTCTTTAGCTTTGTTCTCTTTTCTTTCCAAGATCCTGGAAATTTTAACTTCACACCCCGCCTGTTCATCCTCAGCAGTTCCTCTGGGGATTTCACAGCCACGGAATTCATGTATCCTGCCCGAGACCCCTCTGTGGTCAATTCCATGCCCTTCCTGCAGGAAGATCTGTATAGTGCACCACAGCCAGGTACAGCCCCCAGAGCACAGTGGTCGTGCTGAGCAGCAGAAGATACACCTTCCAAAAAGCCTTTTTATTTCCCTTTTTTATTTATTAAGCAGTTTTTATTTGCCAAGAACACTGCTAGAACTTTTTTTTTATATCATCTCATTTAATCTTCACAGCTACCCCAAATGAAAAGTGGCATCACCCATACATTATAAGAAACTGAGGCTCGGTTACTTGACGCGCCCAAGTGCATCTATTGGAATAGGTTGAGCACAGCGGTGTCAGGCCTGGTGTGCCTGCTGCTGTCCCAGCCTTCCCTCAGCATTCTTACTTCCTGGTCCCCAGTTGTCTACTCCTACTACAGCCATCACATTTTCATTCAGGAAAGAAAGAAGGTGGTAGGGAAAAGGGCAGTGATGGCCACGTCTCTCCCTTCTATGCCTGAAGCCCCTAGCAAATTTCTGCCTACATCCCTTTGGCCAGAGCTCCGTCACATGGCCACCCCAGCTGCAAGGGAACCTGGGAAAGCAAGTAGCCAAAGAGCAGGAAGTTGAGAGCATCTGCTGAATTAGGCAAAGAACAGTGTCCACCGTACTAAGGCTGCACAGCAGAGCCGTGGCTCTCACCCAAGGTCAGGTCTGCTTCTACTTGACCACCACCTCTAGATAGAACCTCTGTGCTCTCATTCTGGTTGGGACAATCACAGTCCCTGGAGACTGGGCTGTTTTTATAGACCTTCCCACCCTCTCTCTAGTCCAGCCTAAAGTCAGCCGCCCCTGCACTCATGCCTTCTCCCTCTCCCATAACAAGAGCCTGGAGCCACAGCCAGGAACCTCACCTGCCACTGGCAGCCCAGATCACCACCTTAAAAGCTTGATGGGTATAAATGTCACCCTGTGGGCTATATTAGCAAGTGTCTTAAAAAGTGAGGCTATGTCCTGCTGGCGTGGCTCAGCGGTTGAGCGCCGACCCATGAACCAGGAGGTCACAGTTCAATTCCCCCTCAGGGCACATGCCCAGGTTGTGGGCTGGATCCTCAAGGCATCCAATCAATGATTCTATCTCATCACTGATATTTCTATCTCTCTCTCCCTCTCCCTTTCTCTCTCTGAAATCAATAAAAACATATTTTTTAAAAAAGGGAGGCTGCTCCCCACCCTCTTCATCCTATGGCACAGGATGGGTTATTAACCTCCACTTGGCTTTTCAAGTATATGATTTTTACAGAATCCTGAAATGTATGCTAGGACTCAGGGCAAGCTGAGCTAGCAAGTGAGAGCCCTTTGCCATGTGGAGTAAGAGCAGGCTGATGATTTGATGAAGAGAAAAAGTGAGGAACACAAAATTTAGGCTCATTCCTCTCTAAAAATCATGAACTTCCATCACCTGTGAAGCAGTCATACGTGGGCTTGAACACCAGTGAGTGCAGGGCAAGCATGGAGTACTCGCCTTGTCATTCATGTTCTTTAGAGATAAATGGTGCTAACACCCCTTGAGTGGCAAGCGCATTATCCCTTCTATTCTTAGCACTCTGTAGATGCCTAGAGGCCCACTGATAGGTTTGCAGTTGAGGAGACCAGGGAGAAGGGACTGGAGGAGAGATGAGGAGAGGAAAGGAAAGAGACCCACACCATCAGTGCCACCTCCTTCTGCCTAGAGACCTTTCCTGATTTAATATTCAAAACACCCTCCCTTTGCCCCTGAATGTAACTGCCAAGGGGATTCTCCCCCTGACAGAGGCAGCCTGGAGGGAAGACACCTGTTAGATTTAGGGAAGAGTGGCCTGGAAGTGTCCATGAAGGAGCTTCTGATGGTTGTTTGTTCTCACCCTCACAGCACTTTTCCTTGTTGACAATCACCATGAGGTGTACCTCTGGCAAGGCTGGTGGCCCATTGAGAACAAGATCACCGGTTCCGCCCGCATTCGCTGGGCCTCCGACAGAAAGAGCGCCATGGAGACCGTGCTCCAGTACTGCAGAGGTGAGGCGTCCGCAGGAAGCAGGCTAGGGGGACCGGCCAGCCAGGAACCCCTTAGGTACAGTGACCAGCATCCGTTCAGAAGTTGGTGCTCAGCTGCTTTTCTGCAGACTTGGTCAGAGTCCCAGACCAGGCCTTCCCTTTCTAAGGGCGCCAACCAGCCTTGAAGAAGCCTGGCAGACAGTGATAAAACCAGTTTTCTTTCCCTTTAATTTTTGAGGCTTATTGATTTTCAGATGTGTGTATTCTCAACTGCCAACATGAATGAGATTTCATTTTTCTTTTTTGTATTATGAAGCCATTTAACTTGTTATCCTGGAGTTTAAAGGTTGTATGCACAGTTGACCCTTGAACAAAAAGGTGTGAGTTGCACAGGTCCAGTTATACACAGATTTTTTTCAATACTATACAGTTGGCCCTCCATATCCATGGGTTCCATATCCAGGAATTCAGCCAACTGCGAATCGGAAAGTATTTTTTATCTGCAGTTGGTAATCTACAGATGTGGAGGACCGACTGTATGCATTGTTCTACACCATTTCATAGAGGGGACTTGAGCATCCACAGTTTATGGTGTCTGTGAGGGGGTCCTAGAATCAATACCCTGTGCATATTAAAGGACAACTAAGTTTTGGGGGAGTCAAAAGTTATACATGGATTTTGATGTTTGACTACATGGGATGTTGGTACCCCAACCCCCTGTATTGTTCAGGGTCACCTATATTGCGAAATGTCCTGGACTGGTTAAAATCCTCTGCACTCAGGATTCATCATGCTGTGGGATATTCAGGCCCCCACCTGCACACTCTCCACACACAGCTTCACACTGTCGGGGAGTAGAAAGCTCCCCAACAGGGTGGAAAGCCAGTGGCAACTTTGTTACCATTCATTATTATTTTTAGCATGATATCTAAAAGGAAATATCTATAGTCAATTCATGGTTTTTCACTATAATGTCCACCTAAAATTTGTGGACTTTTATATAAACTGAAGATGCCAATAATTAATTTCTTACCTGAATTTTAAAGGTTTTATTGATTAGTTTAGTGTCACTAAGTATACAATGGATTCTGTTCTTGAAAAGCTCTTTAGTAACAAATAACTTATTAAACTTCCCACAAAATGTTTAAGTTAAAGTGGCATATAAAATACTGTCATTAGCTGTTTAATTCTCATTGAACTTAATGCTGCATTAGGAATATTTCTGCAGGAAGAAGGAAATGTCCCACCCAGAAGCACGGAGAGAGGCTTTCTCCCGTCCAGAGACCCAGACACATTTTGTCATGTTCAAACAGTATAGTCAGGTGGAGTACATGTAATTTTATGCAATCATATGCATAAAATGAACATGTTATATAAACATCACCCAAGTGTTATGAACTACTCATAACTTCGATTTTAAGCATGAAGTCAAGAGATCCAAATAGAGAAGAAAAGATTTCAAGGGAAGTCAGAGAAAGACAGGGTCTCTGGGCCCACTCTGGGTCTACTGACACTTGCATTCTGTGTAACCACAGGAAAAAATATCAAGAAGCCGCCACCCAAATCTTACCTGATCCACGCAGGTCTGGAGCCCCTGACGTTCACCAATATGTTTCCCAGTTGGGAACACAGAGAGGACATTGCTGAGATAACAGAAATGGTGAGCACGCCCCCTTCCCTGGGAAGGTGGATCCCTGCCTTTTGGATTTGTGGGTGGACTTTCCCTTGGGGAAAAGCATCCAATTGCATTTTCAAAGTGAGAACATGGCTTTTCATTTGCAACATGTAAACAAGACTATGTCAAATTAGCTTAGGAAGAAGAAAAGCCTAAGGAGAAATCAATTGAAGTATTTTGATAATTTTTTATGTATAATACTCAAGTTAAAAAACTGAAAAGCAAAGGTGAATTTAATTACTTTGAAGATATCCACAAATTAAAGCTCTTCACTCTGTTCACTAAAAATCTGCTTCTAAAGGACCACATGAAGCACAACAAAGCTCTCATGTTTCAGACATTGACCTTGTATTAAAGGAGATACAGAGTAACTCCTAGATGTATTAACCTATGCATATAACTAAGTGAATGAATGTATTGTAAATCACTCCCGATAAGGTATTGCTCACTATCTCATTAATATTCTTTTATAAAACCACCTGGTATTATCACATGAGGCATTTATTTGCATCTCTATTACCAAAAAATATTGTGAACCAGAATATTATAATTTCCATCTGCACAGAAAAAGGAAGCTTCCTGCAACTATATAGAATTTCTTAATTTATGAGTTTTTAACATTGCTAGCAACAGCAGTTCCAAGAGTGTTTTGGTTGGGTGGGTAATAGATCTGTAGGTCTGTTCGTTTTGGTTTTCTTACTCTGTAGGAGCACTACTTTTTGGGGAAGGGCAGAGATGGCATGAGTGCATTTTATAGGAGGTCTGAATAAGTTTAAACAAGAAAAGTTCACTGCTGCTTAACCACAGAGAGAGCCTGTTTCATATTGTATAATGGTAGAATCACTGCCAATTCTACTCCCTCTGTGGCCGAACAGACTTCATCTACATAGGGAGGGCTCAGGCAGCCTGCTGTCCAACACAGTCAGTGAGCAGGCTCTGTTCACAGTAAGTATGCGATTCATGAAGTTTCAAAGCTCTAGGGATAGGAGCACTGTCGCTGCAGCCTAAGTTCATGGCCAGAAGTCATAGCCACTTTGTATTCACTCTTGATCACTGGGGGCTGGCGGTGGACTGTGCAACGCCTTGCACAGGCCCATGGGCTTTTGGCCAGTGAACAGTTGGCTTCTCACGTCGGCACGTTGTAGTAATAATGAACATTCACTGAGAGCTCGCTCTGTGCCAGGCACTGCTCCAAGCACTTTACATTGATTTCTCCTTTAATTTTTAAAACAGTCCAGTAAGATTAATCATATTATTATCCCCATTTTACCGGTGAAGGAGCTGAGGCACAGAAGCAGGAAGCAGCTTGCCCCAGGTCGTAGGCTCATGCTGGCTCTGAAACCTACCTCTTACCCACTAGTCTATACTAGATATTGCTGCACTGTTGGCCATTCATTCCCCCACTGCAGATACACAACCCTGTCGGATCTGCACACCAGCCTGAAGACCCTCCCTCGGGGGGAAACAGGGCTCTAAAGTGGAAAGGAATTGCTCAAAGCCCCCCAGTTCTCCCCACTGATTTTAGATATCTACCAGGAAGGCAGTCAATCTGGGATCCAGTTTAATTGAGGAAGATATTTACCTGAATAAACTGTTCAGATTAAATGCACACAGAGGTTTAAAAAAATCTTGATTCAACCCCAGCGTATTCTAGATGCATTTTCTTACCTTCTTTTTCTATTGTGGATTAAGAAACTGGTCCAGGGAGGGAGGGGAGTGTGATTCCTTTTAAGGCTAATTATATTTAAATATTGTTAAACAAGCATCATTATTTGGATGCTTCTGGTGTTTAGACTTCAAATTTAATAATCTTATGTGATAATTCACTCAGATGAAATTCCCTAATCTTTTTTTCTGAGGCAACCCTGAGACAGGATTTGTTGGACACTTTGGGCAGGGTGAGAAGATACCTAAAATCAATTCCTTTCCACTTTAGAGCCCTGTTTCCCCCTGAGGGAGGGTCTCCAGGCTGGCATGCAGACCAGACAGGGTTGTGTATCTGCAGGCACGTGATACAGCACGTTGAGATGTGGGACACAGAGTTCACTCTGCCCATCCTGTTCTCTAGGATACAGAAGTTTCGAATCAAATCACCCTTGTGGAAGACGTGTTAGCCAAGCTCTGTAAAACCATTTATCCACTGGCTGATCTCCTAGCCAGGCCACTGCCTGAGGGAGTGGACCCTCTAAAGCTTGAGATTTATCTCACTGATGAAGACTTTGAGGTAAGTGTTTCTTCAGGTGGGGTAGCAATTAAGCCACACTCTGGGCTGGTGCGGGAGCCCTCTTCCTCAACCGCTGGGCATTTCTCTCGATTCTCCCAGTTTGCACTAGACATGACAAGAGAGGAATTCAGTGCACTGCCCGCCTGGAAGCAGGTGAACCTGAAGAAAGCAAAAGGCCTGTTCTGAGTGGAGAGATGCTGGTGGAACCTGTTGTCACTTTCAATACCACTGGACCAAGAAAATGGATATTTTTTTGGACTGGTATTTTAAAAAATATTTTTTAATCAGAGGTTTCAAAACCTGAAGTTATTAGCTCTACTGCTTGTCCTGGAGTTGTGTACTTTGTAAATGTTTAAGAGAACTCTTCTGGAACTCTCTTTCCGCAATTCAGCAGGTATCATTAATAAAAACCCCGTAGGTGCAGCTTAGCAGCCGCTCCTTAGTGGCTGCTACAGCACTGCCCTCCTGTTCCAGCTCCGCATTGCCGATTTTTTTTAAGCAGTTCTCTTTATAAAGTGTTATTTTGATAGCTTGTGGATTCTAAAATATATATATTTATATAAACACCATATAAATCAAATATGTATTTAACAAAGCAATATGTATTCATTCACTTTTAAGATTTTGGGGGGTGTCAAAGTAATATTAAAAGGTAGATGGAGTTGCTTCTGTGGAATTAGCTCTGTGGCCAATACGTGTCTTCACCATGTTTGGAACATCTTCTTCAACATTAGGTCTTACTTGTTCTGAGTGCTGCTTCCGGTGCTAAAATGAACAGAAAATGTGCACTTCCTGGTATGGAATCAGTGCAAGTTCACCTTTCTACCTTAATATCTCCCCAAAATGTATAGTGCCTTGTTTTTATGTACAGTTTATATACATACAAGTTTGCTCTGCATTTTTTGATTATGGTTTGGAACATTATCTACAATTTTACTCTAAAATAGTAGAAATAAAAAACATCTTAATTTCTAATGCCTATTGTAAACATTAAACATGTCATTTTGCAATCTAGGACTCCAAAATAAAAGCTTCAGAATAAACACAGCAATTTAATTGATTGGTTCCCATTGAATTCCAAGCATGTTCCTTTCTGAAAAATGTTTTTTGCAAATGTTAATCTAGTACCAATATTTCATTATTAAATAGTATTTGCTTTTTAAATTGCATTTAGGGCAAGATTTTTACAAGGTCATAAAACTAAATAGCCATTTGACCCATAAACTTAGTTCTAAGTCCTATGTTAAGGACATATTTTTGCAAATCATCCTTTAACAGAAGCTCTTTATCTACAACTATATCTATGTCTCAAATTCAGGATCTCGGTGCCTTTTTAAATATCGAATATATAAGGCATTTAGAAAACTTTAAAATGAACCAGAAAACTCTTCACAAGCTCATGTGTTGTTAAAATCCCAGGTCCATAGTTCAAATTTTATAAACCTGTGATAAGCTGTTACTGCCCTGCCCTTTGGTTTAAGTTTAACATATTGGATAACATTTGCCTTAATAAACATGGTCACTGACTTGTGTGCCCCCACCATGGGACTGTAACCCCTTCCTGGTCCCACCACCTTATGACTCCGTGATATTGGGCAGTCACTGAAGTCTTCTACCTATATTTCAAAAGTACTCATACCAGCCCTCCTGACCACGTCCCAGGATTGATGCTTGGTGAGGATCAAGTGGAAGCTCCTTAAATATTGTCAAATCCTAGGAACCCGCTGGTGTAAATATTATTGATATTGTAGCTGGCATAGGGAAGATAAGAGTTGAAGTTAAGGAATGGAGTCACACACTTAGAAATTATAGATTAAACCAAAATGAGTGGAATCTTCCAAAGAAATAAACGTAGGAGGGAAATGAGAGAGGAGCTCAGAGAGTATGTCCCATGGGTAGTAAGCAATGAAAAACAGCAAAGGACTAATAGGGCCAGTAGGATACCCAGTGGAATGTCAGAAAGAAAGGCAGGGCCCCAGCCTGGTGGCTCAGTTGGCTGAGGCATCTACCCATCTACAAAAAAGGTTGCAGGTTCCATTTCTGGTTGGGGGTTTGATCCCCGGTTCAGGGCACATTGGGAGGCAACCAGTTGATCAATGTTTCTCACATTGATGTTCCTCTCTCTATCTCTCTCTGTCTCTCTCTCTCTCCCTCTCCCCCCCCCCGCCTCTTCCCCCTTGTCTTCCTCTCTCTCTAAAATCAATAAACATATCCTCAGGTGAGGATTAACAGAGGGGGGGGAAGGTCTACCTATGTCAGTACTATCCACTGGGAGATCTCAGAATGCATTCCCTGTGGATAAGGGGGACTGCTGTATATGAAATTTCCAGAAAAGACAAATTCATTCACACAGAGAACAGATCAGTGGTGGCTGGAGATGGAGGTGGGAGTGAAGGTTGACTGCAAATAACAAGAGGGAACTTTTAGGTGAGATGGAAATTGATCTAGAACTGGATTGTGGTGATGGTTGCACAACTCTACAAAAGTACTAGAACTTACTGAGTTGTGCACTTACATAGGCATATTTTATGGCATGTATATTTTACCTCAAGAAAGCTGTTTTAAAAAATAGTAACACTGATCTATGTGAAAAATGCAAACATTTAGCATTATAAAGATATATAAATTAGGAATTGAAAATCATAGATATTGCCACCATTAAAGAAATAGTTATCCATGACATTTGTTAAGACAGTAAAGCTGAGCCCTAGTTGGTATTGCTCAGTGGTTGGAGCATAGGCCCACACACCTAAAGGTCATAGATTTGATTCCCGGTCAAGGTAATGTACCTGGGTTGCAGGTTTGATCCCCAGCCCCAGCAGGGGTGTGTGAGGAAAGCAACCGATCGATGTTTCTTTCTCACATTGATGCTTCTCCCGCCCTCTCCCTCTTTCCCTCTCTCTCTGTCTCCTCTTCCCTCCCTTCCACTCTCTCTAAAAATCAACTGAAAAATATCCTCAGGTGAGTATTAACAAAACAAAAAAAGACAGTAAGGTCGACTTTATTCAGGGCTGTCGCTATAGGTATAGGGACCACTGCAGTGAGGGTTTGCTCTAGGGGAGAGAGATTGGGCTCAACTCAGAACAGACAAGGAAAAGTGGGTATTTATAGCCAAGGAGAGCAGAGCAGGTGGTGGTCAGTGGGTGGAAAGTTAGTAAGAGGAAACATCGGGACCAGGGTAAGGAGGGATTCTGACTGAAGGCACATCATGGGGCTCAAACATCAAGTGGGCAGGCGATGGAGGACGCAGACCCTGACCAGATACAAGGGCGATCAGGTGTCGAGTGGGGGAGCTGGCCTAACATACTCGACAAGATTCTGGCTAAGAGTGGGTTCTTGGAGGACATGCCCAAGGACAGGGCCTTGTCAGGCTAGGAGGAGTCTGACTAAAGTTTGGTCAAGGAGAGTGTCTCTGTCATCACTTCCCAAATACAAATGCTTCAATAATTTGATTTATGTTCTTCTAGGTTTTTCTTTATATCTACTAATGTAGAGATGTATGCTCATAATTTTTGAAGAGAAAAATTGCATTTGTTTTCAGCATCTTAATTTTCCTGTTAACAATAGGATTCCGACACTGGCCCTTGGGTATTTATCTGGGCGTTTGTGAGGTCCTGAGGTCACATGGGGCACAGTGTGGAGGCTAAATCACTGACTTCCCCCCACCCTAGGGCCAGTCCACATTTCTCAAAGGCTGGGCAGCATCACCCCTGGGCCCAGGCCTCTCTTGATGTCAGATCCAGAGTTAAGGGTCAGAATTCTCAAAGCAGACCTCTGTACAAAGCCTTCCTGGACCACAGGGGAGTGTGAGAGTCAAGGGGACAATAGCAAGTCAAAGATCAAGATAATGATTCAAATGCAAATAATAGAAAATTAACTATATTGGTGGCATTTGACCCAAAGAAAACATCCTACTTTATTTTGAAAAAATAAGAGCATCGCATTGCCTGCATTTGTTCTTTCTGTACCAGAGAAAAGGTGTTAGGGCTGCTTTAGATGACCTGTAACAGATACACACCAAGAGTCAGATCAGAAAGGTGGATTTGTGTACCTATAATCAGGACCATTGATTTGCTGCAAGTGTTGACCTTGTATGGAAATACCCCGCAGGTTTCACCATTTGAATGCACAGGACATAACGTTGGTCCTTGAGGGTGCATAGGGAAGAAAGATTAACAGACCAGCACCCTTCGTTTCTAATAATGAACTGGTCCTCTATTGAGCTTTTCTATCGTGGCATTGAAAAGAAAGCTCCAGGAGCAGAAATGAATGCAAGCTGAAGTCCTGGCAGGAGGTATCCAAAATCCCAGTTTAACAGTCCTCGTTAGAGTGGTGAGAAATGTCCGTAGAGCTCAGGAAGTCTCTTAAGGGAGATATTGGAACTGATGAATGTGATCTGGAGGCCCACATATATTGCCAGTTATTAAATCTCATTGAATTATTAAGTTGAACTTTACCATCTGAACACCATTTTAGCATCCATCTTGAAATGGTTGTAACAGGACATGTTAGCTCCACAAAGTAAATCTTGAACAAATAAACAAAGAGCCATAAGTCTATATGGAAGCAAAGAAAAATAAAATGGGGCAAGGAGGAGAGGCAGAGTGGTTTCTACATATAAAGAAAGCAAGCAATTAATGCACTTGGGAAGTGAAAGTCATTGTCAGTCAAAGCCCATCCTAGGAAGCATTGATAAAGTAGGCACCCTATCTCTCCTCCCCTGGCTTCCTTTGCCTTCTCCATCTCCACCTTCAGTGGTTCCTTTGCCTCCAAACACCAGTGCTTGG